TGGATGAGAAAATTTTATTAATATACGGACTATTCATATATGAAAAAAAATCACGGGCAGGCACGGACAAGCAGCCTCAGTAGGGTTATGGGCACAGGCAAAGAATCTTACCCGTGCAGATCTCTAGTTAAGACTGATCATTATTTCATCACAATCTTTAGTTACTGATACAACCGCACACTTCTAGAATATCTCATAGAACATCAAATAAATGTTTGTGGATAATACCGAAATTTAAACGAAAAGCTGCAAAATCATCTTTTTTACCAAAAACCATACTTCAGTGAAATAATTTTATCTAAGAATATTATCGCTGCCTTCTTTGCCAGATCGTTTAGATGTGCATCACTGTCAAAAGGCTGCCGTAAACGGCACAGACTATAATAGAATGAAGGTATGTATAGTAATCAAAACAGAAATTTAAATATAAAATCAAAGTTTTATAAAAAGAAAAAAATAATTGTCCATTTAGTCTTCTTCAAATGACGGTATAAACTCTCAAAATATTCATTGGGTTGAAACAATTCCCTATAAAAAAACTTCCAGTGCGGCACTGGTATAAATCAGTGCGCAACTAGTTCACAAGCGTAAAACAGAGCGTATTTTTAATTTCGAAGCATATGTCTATAAAACTTGACATCGAGAGACACCTTCGTACCCAAGATTGAAAACTGATCATGTGGATAATGTTATGTTTTTTCATTCTATGATTTTGCTTCTGCAAGATGATTTAATGGCGTTTGTTTCAAATGGATAATCATAGTTCGGCACCGTCTTGGGAGTATAATATTATGATCAGATTTGTTAGAGGAGATAATTCTTCATATTAATTGAATATCACTGAAATTGACGAATGACGTGACTGATATTGTTGTATTCAGAGAAAACGATTCATGACTCAGTGCTTTCAATGAGATGTTTTCCAGCTAAAGTATTCCTGCTTTATTTCCTTGCTGTGACATAAGCGAAAAGTTGTTCTATTTTGAATTATTGATTTATCGAATTTTTATGACACTATATTAATCGAATGATAGATTCTCCTTCGGTCGATTTGGTTTTCTTTGGCCAAGAAAATAAAATAACTAATCGAGATTTCTATGAAACACATGATGAAGATGAGAGTGTGACTTCGAGTCTCACGAAAGTCGTCTTTTTCCTCCATTTATGCACATATGTTTTCTATCGTTTTCTTTCCTTTCCTTTCCTATTCCTATGACTCACATATGTTGCTGACAATGATTCATATATACCCCTGGCAAAAATAAGTTTCCCTCTGTATTTTGAGGATATTGTTACCAAACGAACATATTTTTTAAAAAGTAACGACATATTCTGGAAGCCCGTGAAATTTTACATCTTTCTGTATATTTATATTTTTGTTCGGACGGCTGTATAAAAAAATTCTTCCAATGAAGTGTACACACCTTTAGTACTCCATTTCGATATACCTAATACAATCATTGACATCTCGCATAGTTTTTCAAATTTTTTTCGATAGTAAAAATAAGCTTTAAAAAAAGTAATCACATATTCTGATAGAGCTTGAAATTCTCTATCTTCCCATATACTTACCCATCTTCTCACACTTATCTATTAATCAATAGTTGAAAAATAGCGAATGTGATCACGGTTGACAAGTACTAAAATTTTACTTTTTTTTTTCTTTTTTTTCTAAATTGATTTTCCAAATGCAGATCATGCAGAATGCAGATCATGAAACTACTCATCTATCTCCTAAATGTTCCATAGCATCAGATGACATTTCACATTAGTCACATCAACGCTCATCTGACGACCACGAGGTCAGCACCAAAATACTACCAAGGTTTAAGTGTGAAAGTGTGAAAGTGTGAAATGGCTAGTTAATACTGGAGACAGTATTTCTAACAGCAAAGCGTACATATGCTTCGAAATTAAAAATACGCTCTGTTTTACGCTTTTCTCAGAAAAGTAGAGCGCATAATATACACTTTGTTTATTATAATTATGTTTAGATCACTGTAAAGCAACATAATTGCAGAGTTTACGAATTTTAGAATTTAGGAGTTTGCTCTGTCCCTTCCTAAGCTAATCAACGCTACAGTTCCTTTTAGCCTTTTCTGTTTCATTTGTCCAATTGTGGTTGCTGTGATATACGTTCTAATGAGGAGAAATTTAGCGTGTGAAATTTATGCTCCGCATAAATTGAAAATCTCAGAAGCTTTATAATTCCTAAATTCTGACTTCTGAAAAGTTGAAGAACATTTAGAATTTCAGACTCTTAGACGTCGTTTGAATAGTTGGTTCAACTCTCTCTGAAGTGGCAGACAAAGTAGAAAAAGGAATCCTTGCATGAGCGGCCATCCGAATCCCCGTTCAAACTGCTTGTTCGAACAGGTGGTTGAACTCCCTCTCACATCAACGGAAAAATGTAATAGTGAACTAGTAGGTAAACGAGCGTTAATAGACCATGTGGAACGGATTGTTGAACTCCTATTAACCTGAACCGAAAATGACGGTTGTGAACTAGTTGCGCACTGATTTATACCAGTGCCGCACTGGAAGTTTTTTTATAGGGAATTGTTTCAACCCAATGAATATTTTGAGAGTTTATACCGTCATTTGAAGAAGACTAAATGGACAATTATTTTTTTTCTTTTTATAAAACTTTGATTTTATATTTAAATTTCTGTTTTGATTACTATACATACCTTCATTCTATTATAGTCTGTGCCGTTATGCTATGGAACATTTAGGAGATAGATGAGTAGTTTCATGATCTGCATTCTTTACTAGCTGCACCATCATTGAATCAGTGGTTGGTGACCTCGCCATCGTCAGATGACCGTTGCTGTGACGAAAGTAAAATCTCATCTTGTGCCATCGCACATCTAGGAGATAGATGAGTAGTTTCATGATTTGCACTCTTCACTACCTACATCAGCATTGAATTAGTGGTTCATGACCCCGTCTTGGTCAGATGAGCATTGCTGCGACGAAAGTGAAATGTCATCTGATGACATGGAACATCTACCAGATGGATGAATAGTCTGCTGGTTGGGATTCCTCACTAGCCGCATTACCCATAATTCAGTTGTTGAGGTCCTTGCCATCGTCAGACGAGCGTTGCTGTGACGAAAGTGAAATGTCATCTGATGCCATGGAACATCTACCAGATTCTCCTCGTTAGCATTCTCCAGTAGATGCATCATCCATGCTTCAGTTGTTTGCGACCTCCTCATCATCAAATGAACGTTGCTGTGGCGAAAGTAAAATGTCATTGGTGATGATCACCATAAAACGGGCGTTTAAGAACTAGTTCACAACCGTCATTTTCTGTTCAGGTTAATAGGAGTTCAACAATCCGTTCCACGTGGTCTATTAACGCTCGTTTACCTACTAGCTCACTATTACATTTTTTCAAAGGAATTGTAGCGTTGATCAGCTTAGAAAGGGACAGAGCAAACTCCTAAATTCTAAAATTATCGCTCCGGAGTGGCCGTGGGCAGTCCACTGACACTCATTCTTGCCGATCTGTTTATGACAAAAATGGAACAGAAGTTGAATCGGTTCTCAACCAACCGACCGAAGATCTAGCTGGGGTATGTAGATGATGTCTTTTATGTATTCTAAATCAACGTAGAAAAGATCCACGCGTTTCTTGAACGGATCAATAAATGGCATCCCAATCTTCGGTTCACCATTGAGCGTGAAGAACACAAACAGTTACCATTCCTCGACGCCTGTATGATACGAGAGAACAACCAACACACCACCACTCTCTATCGCAAATCGATCTATACCTACTCTGGGAATCCAATCAATGTAGGAAATACAAACTGGGTCTGATCAAGACACTGATGGTTCGCATTCTTCGGATATGCTCAACACAACAATACATCCAGGAAGAAACTGAACGACTACGACGAACACTGAAAGCCAATGGATACCCTCCACACATCATTAAAAGAGGCATCCGAGAAGGCGAAGTTATCGTAGCACGTTTGCAATAACAACAAGTTAGAGTCCCCAACAAGAAGATATTCTTCACATTAGCCTACCGTAGGCATGAAATAGTGATTCTCGCTTCAAGATGAGAAAAGTGTGCCAGAAGATGCTTCCACACATCGATCTTCATGTCTCGTTCAAGAAGCAACACATTCTGAAGCAAACCTTTTTACCTATCCAAAACGGCCTAGATGAGTCCAAGAAGAACAAACAGATCATCTAAAAGGTACCTTGCAAGAACTGTGACCTGGTATATATCGGTGAAACAGCACGAGATCGTACGACAAGGATGAAAGAGCACCAAGCAGCTATAAAAAAGAATCTAGTCGACTCGGACCTTGCCAAACATGTGAACAACGAGAAGCATGAAGCGGACTTCAGAAATGTCGAAGCAGTTGGCAATGACAGTATTTGGCGTAGACGAATAATAAAGGAGAGTCTGCTCACACAACAACACCTTGGGAAGACAATCAATCAAGTGAAGCACAATCCACGAGTCTTCGGATAAACGATCCTAGAACAACTTATCCTGAACAGTCTAACAAACACCTTATTCAGTATTTCCTCTTCATTTTGATACCTTTGTTTCTCCTTGTTTTTTTGTATCTCTGCGTCATACAGTAGTACCTGACGATGACCTTAGAATAGATCGAAAGCTCGTACGGTTCAGTCTTACCTAACCAGTATGCTATTTACGGCAGTTCTCAACTTCCTACTCTCTTCGAACTATTCAATTCGTATTTAAAAAAATCTTGAATCTGTATAGGACAATTTGTATTCCCTTTTTTTTTTATAAAAAAAGAAACAATTATTCTCATCAATCAATAGCAAAACCAGTAAATCAAGTTTTATTAAATGTATAATTAGCAAGGTGCACAGTAATATTTAGAAAAGAGAGGGTGGGGATGAGGGTGTGAGGGTGAGGGTGGGTACCAGCATTCTCATAAAAAATGATTCATTCTCATACCAGCATGAATATCAAAAATGCAAAAAAAAACAAAGTCATTGATGTATTAACTTAACATCGGAACAGGAGAATCAGTAGATGGAGTGACTTTTTGTGCGAAATATCGAAGAAATGCCATAGGATCTATTAGAAACTGTTTGAGTCTTTCGATAATTTTTTGTGTTTCGGTTTTGTCTTGCGAAATATTATTTTGTAGGCGTAGTTCATGAAATCGTTGAACTTCTTTGGTGAGCTTTTTAAATCCTGATCCATCATCATGAGTCTTGTCCGGATGAACTTGTAATGCGAGCCGTCGATATTGCGAATCGATCTCTGAATCTGTCGCATTTGGACTAAATTTTAGTTGTTTACAAAGGTTTAAAAATTCTTTTTTATTCCGTCCTTCTCGCCACTTGTTCATCACCCATGATGACGCTATGGAAACACCGAATGTAACCGCAGCTACTGTTACACAGGTAACTACAGATGCTCTTAATGAATCAAGTGGTAAGCATTTCACTATTTCAGGTACGAACGCTTGTATACCGTAAATCGTTGCGACAGATGTGATTTCTCGGAGGATTGCAGCGATTAGTTCTGCTGAGTTGACGCGATCTTCTCGATAATCTTGTATAAGTTGTGTTATTCGAATAGTTAGACTTGTTATTACACTTGCATGACCTTTCAATTGTATGGGAATTTGTGAAGTTGCATTAACGCCAATCGAGACAAGTGAAGGTGCACTAGTTATCAATATATTCTTCGACAGTCTTACCAATTTTAAAGTGTCAACGGTCGAAGAAGCTAATGTTCTAATGGTTGTTCCTCCCACTCTGAATGCAATAGCTAAGAATACGGAGTCAAGAGAATTTTGATGTACAATAAAATTTGAATGTGCCCATCCATTTGCGCATTCGGCAAACACATCGACACCAGCATTTAGAAAATTTCGTGTTGTTCGAGCTTCAGGATTAAAATAGAAATGAAGTCCATTTGTTGTAAGCGAACTTAAACCATTATATCCTGCATCACTTAATGTTTCAGTACTATATTGTTTTGGTTTTTGTGGTACTCCATTTTCTGAAATTATTTCATAGTCTGTTATCTTGTTTGTAAAAAGACCAAATGTTTGTTGCACACGTCTTATCTTTGCCAAATAAGGTGATCCAATTTTTCTATCTTCTTTTGTACTTTCAACGGTTTGTGTCTTTTCATAATAGGTCGTGATAACTTCAGGTTGAAGAGTACCTTTTACTTCACGTTTTGTAGCCGTTGTTTCTCTTATACCCACAGTAGAAGATAGTTCATTACTTGTTCCCAGGTGTTGTATCTTCTTATAGAAGACTTTTTGAATGAATTTGATTCTCTTTCTACCGATGGTAGTTCCACCATCTTTTACTTTATACGGAGTTCCATCTTTCTTGCTTATTATTTGTGTTTTATCTGTCGATTCCTGGCGTACAACTTCCTTTTCGCGTTGTGCTCCTACTTCATAATGTGTAACTTTTGTTTCACTCGAGAATATAAGAAACTTTTTTGGTGTTTCACTGCTTTCACGTAGATCTTGACCAAATAGTATTGCTTGTTGAGAAGTAATTGTTGTTTCGATTTCATCGGGCAGTTCTCGATCAGAACGGTAACTGACATTTTCTTCTGCTCTATATAAATCGTGTTTTTCTCTCTTCTGGCCTTTTCGCCATAATCCAAAAGCTTGTTTAGTATCTATGACATTCGTTGCTTCGTTTAATACTACTTCTACACGACAATTAGTTGGAAGTGCTCTTGTTTCGCGGTATACATAATTTTCGTGTAGTGTCGCAATAATTCCATGATCTTTCAGAAGGTTATCTTTTACTTGCGTGAGGTGTGTTAAGGGTAAGTTATTTCTTACAGCGATCGGTGATCCATCAGTGTTACTTTTCACAGTCGTGGTTTTCAATACTGAGTTAAATGCAGGACCCATGTCCGTTGCGGCTTTCCGATCCGCTACACGACATCTTCTGCCAAATTGTCCACTAAATTCTTTTTTCCATTGTGTTGTTTGTGTTGTACCATCTTCGGTGATTTTGGTAACTGGCTCGCTGATTTCAGTACCGAAGGTGAATCCGACAGATGCATCAAATGTGGTGCCAATAGATGCATGACCTTGAAAAGTATTTGCATCTCGGAATGTATTGATGCCGTCACGAGAGAATTTGATTTGTTCTTTATCCTTACAGAATCCAGCCGAGACAAAACCAGGGAGATATGGTATAGAAAGATCGACGACCTCTCGATGGACATTATCTGAACGTAGATCATTATCACGTAATGGTGCATTTGCTTGTGTGTGTTCACGTGTCCAACGAATCGGTTTTCCAGGAATAAGTGATGGCAATGCACGGACTATGTCCATACGAAGATTTTCATAGTCGCCATTGTAAACTGCCGTGCCAACGGTAAATATTAATTCGCTATCAGGGACAACTGAATCGATAAAACCTCGAGCGGTGGCTATTGCAACTCGTTTTATTCCCTGTTTGACAGTAGGACGACCTTTATCTGTAGCAAAATAAGCATACATCAATGTATCCACCCCTGCGAAAACGCAGTTATTTGCTGCTGCTTTGACTGGAGGCGCTACTGAACATTTCGATACGATTTCCCGATAATTTTGTGATGGATCGTGAGAATATATTCCTGCTTGTTTGAACGATTCCTTTATATATATAGGATTCTGATGTATACGAAAGCGTCTTCCTTCCATGGATTTATGTGTTGATTCCTCTTTAAGTATAACCTGCTTTATAGTTACTGTTTGTATGAGTCCTCCGAATTTTCTATCCAGTGTTACCCATTCGCAGCCGGCAATTCTTGAAGTAGGAAAGTGTTCAGACACAACAGCATTTAATGCAGAATGAGGAACATTCGAGTTTGGATTATTGGCTGCTTCAGTTTTGATAATGGCCGTTGATGATACAGGCATATTCTTATTTTCTCGCAGTAGATCATGAATTGGTTGGTGAGAAATTGGTTTAGGTTCAATAAAGAAGAGCACCAGGGTTGTGTCTTTTATAGTGACACCGAGATCAAAATCATGTGACCTGACGAGCATTAAAGGTTGCGTTACAAATTTTATATTTTCATTATTGAACGATTCACCTTCATTTTTCTTGATACGATGGATGTTTGGAAATTTAGGAATGATACTGGAATGCAGAATTTTTTGTTTACCTTCCATTTCTGTTGATAGTAATAACGTTTGTTCAGTTTCTGGAAGTAAGCTATGGTTTGGTTGAGACTGAAGGGGTTTAAATTCAACGTGGACACCGTCTCGAATTATATTTTGTTCAGTTAAATCGACGTTTATGTCTTCATCTTCGATGAGAATTGGTAAATGCAGTTTCAACATAGAATTTTTCACCTGAAGAGATTCATCTTGTCGATTTGTGACATGTGATACTTTAGGAGATTGAAGATCTATGTCATTATGTAAACGTTTTTGTTCATTATTAGCTTCTATTAATGGTTTTGACTGGATTACATTAGTTAAATCTTTTTTCAGGCCTTTATAACAAGCACTTGGTTTGAGCGAAGGTGCCATAACACTTGGATCAAGTTGAATGCGACTTTTCACAATAGAACTTTCTATGAATCGAATAGGAACGGGTTTAGCTATTTCCATCATCACTGATCCACATTGAAATTCTGTAGGTGAGCTCAAGGAATCATGTAAGAATCCGTAGTTATTTGAACGATTGTCGGAAGTTCGAGCGTTACTGTTATGTCCATGAGAATTGTTAGTAAAAGACGAAGCGGATGATTCCTCTACAGAGGAAGATTCAGGAATTGTATAGAGAATAGAATTCGATTGTAACTGTGCAGTAGAAGTAAGTGCGGGTGAATAGTCGTCTGACGGTTGATAGTAAAACTTATTGTTGATGATCGCATGAGGAGAACTTGGCCTCTTCCATGGATTATGAATCACTTCACTTTTGATTGATTTAATTAGGTCAGCAGAACAGAATTGGTTGTCGATACAACGTGCGCTTTTTCGAGTAGTTGGTCCCCTCACAGTTGGTAACACATCTAATTTCTTACACATATCTTTGATATATTCTGGCATGACATTCAAATCAGTTTCGATATTAAAGTCTCCAATAAGTAAACGCTGTCCCACACCAGTATGGAACATGTGTTCTTTGGTATATATTTCAATGTACTGTTTTTCTGTCAACGAAGGTACTTTTGGCAGTGCTTTGTAGTACCCTCCTTGTCGACGATAACAGTTGCTGATGTCAATAGTTTTATCACCCATCATCACGCGAACAATAAGAAGTTGCAAGTTGGAATTTTTATGAATTTCTACGCTTGGTACATCATCTCGCACATAAGTGATAACACCAGCCCGTCTAGAATTATCATCGCAACGAAAAAGTCTGTAGCCATCGATGGGAACGGATTGATCTGAGTGTTGGGAATTGAGAAATGTTTCTTGAAAACAAATAATATGTGGTTTGTGCGTGATTGGTTTCAAATACTTCCAAAATATTCTAAGGTTTCGAAAATGATTTCGCGGTTTACCCAAACTTTGTATATTATACGAAATTACATGCAGCTTTGGAGATTGATTTTCATTGTTTTCGTTCTTCATTGTGAAAAAATCTAAAAAACAACGCTATATAACTTTGAATTTTCTTCTGAAAAACTAAGCTTTTGTATCTTCAAGATAATTGATTATGCTAGACTTGTGGTAATACTAATCATTTGATCATTATCAGTTTTATTTCGATCTCCTTTTTTTCTGTGCTAACAACACTATAGAACTGAAATATTCGAAATTTTGTGACCTCATTAGTTATCGGTTCGGTTTGTAGGACCCATTTTTTCATACATCGTTCATTACACACAATATTTTCGAATCGTCATAATATCATACTTTCGTATGAGTGGCATCATCGTTTCGCAAATATCTTAATGCTATTTTGGAACTATTTACATTGACAACAGCTAGCGCACTCTTGTTCATGAGATCTTATTAATAATTTATGGTTGATTCTTAGACTTATCCAATACTTTCTGATCAAAGAATCCAGTACAGATGTATGTCAAATTCCAAATACTTTTCGTCATTTAGTTTAATTAGTAACTAGTCTCTAACAATATTATTATTTTGTATTTTACAAAATCTATTTGTAAAACATATTAGGTTTTGGATTAAATGATTGACAAGTGAAGCAAAATGTTTGAAAAACATTTTTTTTGTCTTTGCTTGATTTTAGATTTAGAACTACTCGATCGACGCTGTATAAAGTCTGATGAAAAAAATATTTCACACAGTAACAAATATTTCTATTGCTTGGTCAATCATTCACTTTTTTTCCTCAACTGATAGCATATATCAAACAACTCAAATTCGATTCATGAACACGACTGATGTCTCAAATTAGCAATACCAATTTTAATAGAAAGGACGGGGCCGCATAAGGTGCTTGTAGCGGACCACGGTATTTTTTCTGTAAAAACACACTCATTTCGATTTCCGTTGACGTATTCTGATAGAACTAATTGCGACGACTCGAAATCTATCTGGGTTAGATCACTTAAGTCGACTTTTGACCGAGAACCATCGCCTGCAAAAACGCTGTTTTTGGAGGCTGTAACTTTCTTAAAACGCACTGATGAAGCACTCGGCCGGGCACTAAACGATAGAATTTTCCAAGGGCTACAAAATCGCCAGCGGTACCTGCCCTCAATTTTACCGGCCAAAAATTTCCCGGGACAAATACCGTGAAAATGACTCGTTCTGCGCTACCCAGATCCTTTCTGGTGACTCTAGACTCACCAAAGACTTATGTTGGAGCACTCGCTGGGATTGTCTCGTACGTAGTTTTTCGCGCTCTACAACCTCCATATGATGCCCAGTCTTTGTTTTGTTGATTGAGAATTTCTCTGGGTCAAACATCGCGGAAGAGTCTTCCTTGGGTGTCCAGCCCGGTTCTGATCACCAAAGACTAGAGATGAATGAATCATTTAACCAGTGCTAGATGGAGTTCTTCACGCTCTACAACTTCCATATTACAGCAGCTCTGTGAGTTATCGACCAAACATCTTTTGGATCCCCGTCGTGACATTTTCAGATGTTGGGTATCCAGTCACATTCCGGTCACCAAAGATAGGTGATGGACGGCTCCTTCAATACACACTCGCTAGGGTTTTCTACCTTCTTCAACCTCCACGTAACGGCAGTCGTCACGCTCTCACGCGAAATTGTTTCCGACCTCCCCAACATTGATGGGCGTTCCGCCAGGTTGGTATTCACTTCACCGTGACCATAGTTTCATCAACGAATGCTGTTGAAGCATTCGCTCGACCCGCTTACGATGCTATTTTTTGCCTTCTATATCGTCCATGTATTGGCTAAGCTCCAAATTCTTCGAACAACCTTTCTCGAGTTAGTCGAGACAGAGCTAGCCATTTCCAAGGCATTCGACTCACCATCATGGATGATCGAGAACTCGGAGAGCTCCTGTAATATGGAAGTTGTACAGCATGAAAAACTGTAGCTAGCATCCGTAAAATGAATCGCTTATCAACAGTCTTTGGTGATCCTCACAAGTATGCATACCTTAAAATCCTGGCCGAATATGCTAGGGAGCTCGGAAACGTCTCGATCATGATTTCAGTAAAAGTTGATTATCTTTTCAACAGCGAAGAATTCTAAAAATCGGCACGTATACTTTTGTAGAGCTTGCGATTGCGCATCTAACCATATGTGAATAAGGGCTCCAACTCTCTCCAAGAAAAACTAGTAGAGTTTACAAAATTTGAATCTAGGAGATGACATGCTTTGGTTCTAGGCTTCGCCAAAAATTCAGTTTTTGTGCTGGGGCTTCGGAAAAGACATTGCTAGATTCAGTATTTGACGCTGAATCTGAATATATCATTGGCAAAGCTCTATGACCTTTGAGTACGAAACCGCAGAGCTTTTTCTAAGGACCTATGGTTTTACCGCTTTCTTGGACCCTTACAGTGTTTTGCAGTTAACTCAGCGCGGGAAGGTCTTCGGAAGACCGGGCTGTCATATTCGTGGTCGTCGTTGAATGCTCTAAAAGGTGGGGTATAAATCAGCCAAATCTATTTTTCACTGCAAGTCTGCATGCCGTGCACCTTACATATACCCCTGGAAAGCAAAAGTTTGCAAGTGTATTTCAGATCTTTTCCACCAAAACTTAGCATCAAGGGGCAACCAAATATATCATTGGGTAGCCCATTCAATTCTCTATCGAACAGTGTGTTTCGGTCTTACACAGCTTCTGGTTTGAACGGCATACAAGAGTAGACAGAGAGTCTCTCGACGACCCCATTCCAGAGCGATCAACTTTTTTTTCGTCTTTC